GCTCTGCAGCTGGATGAGAGCACGGATGTAGCAAATGTCGCAGAATTGCTTGCATACATCAGATTTATTTCAGAAGACAACTTTGTTGAGGAAATATTATTTTGCAAAGCACTGGAAGGTAGGACCACAGGAAGAGACATTTTCCAAGTTTTAGATGAGTACATCATCTCAAACGGACTTGACTGGTCTCGTTGTGTGGGTGTCACGATCTGTCTGTGTTGTGTTTTGTCTTGTCTAGATCTGTCTTTGGTTTTCTGTCTGCGTTGTGTTTTGTCTGGTTTAGATCTGTGGTTCCCTGTCGTTAGTTTCCCTGGTGTGTCTAATTTACCCGATTGTGTTCACCTGGTGTCCCTGTGTTTTCTCCTCCCTCCTCACCTGTGTCTTGTTTGTATGATTAGTCTTGTGTAATGACTTGGTCTGCGGTGAGTGTTCTGTTCAGTCTTTGTTAAATCGTTTAGCCTTGAAATAAAGGAGTTATTTTTGTCACTTGAATCTGCATTTGGGTCCTGCTTCCTACACACATCGTAACAGTGGGTGTGTGTTCAGATGGGGCAGTGGGGCTATGACAGGCAAAGAAAGCGGAGTGACAGCTTTGATCAGGCAGAAGGCCCCAAATGTAGTGGCAACGCACTGCATGCTCCATCGGGAGGCACTTGTACACATCATTTAAAAAAAAGATTGCAACAGGGGGGTCCCTGGGAAAGTGTTCTCTCCGCTTCGCTTGACAAACCCCGTGATAGTCCTCAAGCTCTGTGATTGGATGTTTGAGTGTGCGCCGAGGGTTACGCCGAGCGTCGAACAGCACTTTGAAATGGGATGGAACCACGGCAGACTGTCCAAAACTGGATTTGAACGGGCTTTAACCACCAGGTGTCCCTTTCTATCAGCTGTGCACCGTTATGGTGTAAATATACCAATATACCGATTGGATCAAATATAAAAGTCAGCCGAATTAGTGTTGATACTGCAAGGAGACTTATATTGTGAAGAGAAATTGAAGATTTTGTTTAATTGCTGATATATTTATGATCCACGTCACATATTCAGTTTCGGCGGCAGTTATTCCTGTTTGTCTAGAAGTCTTCTCATCAGGGCTCTATCAATAGCGAACTACGGCAGATATGTAATATTTAATGCAGCCGAACCGTGTATTACAATGCCGTTATGTGATGACCTCCAAAGAGAAAAGCAAGCACACTCGGAATAAAGTATTATTTTATTTTAAAAAAATGTCTTCGGATTTCACATGTGACTATTAAAAAATAAATAATTCTTATATTAATATTGACAATAACAACCGACCGTTGGGGAGCGTTCTCATGGCGTCTATTATCAACGCTATGGGAGGTCTATGAAGGTCTATGGGACGCCCTGCCCGTTGAAAACTGACTCTCAAGGGATACCGTGTCCGTAATAGAGTGACGGGGAGGGGCCCTGACCGACCGTCAACATGTGACGGGTTGGGAGTGAGAACGTGTTGACCGAGGACTGAATCCTTCATTGCGGGACATTTCGAGGATGGACCAGTGTATCCTCCACGGTCTTAAAATCCCCACAATGCTTTGCACACGGACCAATTTCCAAAATCTTTGGTGGAAAATGTAAGGCGGGGCCTCTCATATGATGCACACTTGCTAGCCTGTTCCATTCTTCGTTCTCCGAATGCCAGGAAGGATTCTTGCCTAGCCTCTGATGGACCTGACTCGGAAGACATGTCCCAACAAGCACGTTACATTAGCCAGACAGCACTGTTTGACTTGTTGAACTGGTTTACCTGCATGTATGGGTGCATGCATTCCTTTTAGTGTGATAATAGGCTAAGCCAGACAGAATGAACACTTGTTCCACCACCCTATCTATTCCACGTTACTCCTATAAGGCCTTTCTCATTTCTCTAATTTCCCCTCCTCGACTCCTCGACTCCTCGGTCCTACGGTAGTGACCCGGAAATGGATTTCAGCCATGTTGAAGGACATCTCATTTCTCTAAATGCACTTGAAGGACCGAGGATGTGATGCTGTGAAAGTCATTTTGAGGTAATAACGTAAAAGAATATTTTAAACAATGTCTATATTTACTGAACAGTGCCTTATCACACACAATACCTGAACCCTGTGCGGATATAATAAATATATTGCAGACCCAGATTGTTTATGCCTTTTTTATGTATTGTTCTTTTTATTGAGTGGTATCATTGTCAAGTGCTGCCTCTTTTGTATTTGTGGTGAAGTGGGCGTGTACTGTATTCCCAACTCACGCGATCTTCACCATTTTGCCCCAACTCACGCGATCTTCACCATTTTGCCCACACATGCCATCTTGCCTCCCACCACATTTCACTTTGCCATGCTGGGAGAAGAACCAGCAACCCTCTGGTTGAAAGGCATCCATTTACCCCTTGAGCCAAAGACACCAGGACATATTCCAGTCAAATTGTACAGGATTGGCTTCTACGTTCATTAGGGTTACAAGGCGACACAAAGATATTGTTAAAGAACATTTGTCTCAAAAATGTTATTGCTTTATGTCCTACTACCAAAAGTGTGTGTAATGAATGCAGGGATGGAACCCACAACACTCTGACTATAAGACATCAACACTACCTCTCGACCATAGCCTCTTGACAGTCCTAATGTCAGAAATGATAAGACTCATAGCCGTAATTGAGCTATCTGTTTTGATGTCTGAATGAAGTTTCTGCATTGTAAAACGTGTGAGGGGAGAAGGTGAAAACTGTCAATTACTATGACAAATTTCAACAAATGTACGTGTCTGCTTTGCTTTAATATTTTCCTCTGACAACTCCAAGTGCTACATTTTTAACACTGTATTCCCACTTCTTTAGTTCCGGGTTGAGATGCTGTACCAGGTTTTATCCTTGAAAAGCAACATATTGACAGATTATGAACGTTGAAGCCCAACTGTTATAAGATTTGATTGATATCAGTACAGGTGGCTTTAGCTCAAGGGGTAACTGGATGGTTATCAACCTGAAATTCAGTGGTTCAATTCCCTCTCATATCTTATGGAACTAACGAGGCTGTGGTAGTTGTGCTTTAAGAAACTGAAATGATAAACAGGACTAAGGTAAAGTTAGAAAGAAATCGATGCTTAGCTTTAAGTCCTGGCTCCAGATGTGCTGGTAGACTTAGGTTTTTCTGGAACAAAACAAAATAGTTTGCTCCCGGGGTCAGGGCCGGCCCTCGGCATAGGCAGTATAGGCGAATGCTAAGGGCGCATCAACCCATAGGGGGCGCCGGAAATTGGGGAGAAAAAAAAGTTAGAAATTTAAAAAAAAAGTACATCTTATTATCTTATACTAACAGAACTACGCCTATATTGCGTACAGCGCCCATACACTATGGCACACACACCCCTCCAAAAATCAAGTATACAGCTTCTGTGTGCTTTTATTAACATTGGAATTGACTGTGTAAGCGGCCGCGCGGGGGGGGGGAGCTTTAGAGAGCTCTTACCTGGCAGACTGAGCGGCTCTGATAACCTCAGCTCAGTGAGGTAAAGGCACACCTTTATCATTATAGTTATAACAAAATAAGAGAATAGATGAAAAACAGGTATAAAATACTATATGACAGTACAAAAAAGTTGTTATTAATAAACAAGAATACAGTTTGAAAGGGGAGTGATTTGTAAAATATCCATAAAGAAAAAGAAAATCTGCTTACAGTTGTGTTTCATATGGGTGTTGAGAGATGTATCCATAGATCTCTTCATGTTGCTCTCAAAGTGCACCAGATTGATGCTTTTAACTTCAACATTTAAAAAATAAAGTCTTCCCGGGGGAGCATGCCCCCAGACCCCCCTAGAGGAGGTGAGGTACCCCCCTCACTTAAATCATGTTCAAATGGACAGGATACTAAATACAGTTGCACACATCTTGTGTCCATATCTTTCTGTTTTGGTGGTCATGCCACAACCGTACATGCGCGAGTCAAAGTGAGTGTCTGCATTTGAGGGGGGGCGCCAGCTATAATCTGGCCTAGGGCAGCAAATTGCTCAGGGCCGTCCCTGCCCGGGGTACTACTTCCGGTCCGGATGTCTGTTTTCTTTTTATTAGTTTTGTATCTGGTTTCATAATTTCATAATGCCCTGAGATGTAATTCATTTAATAATCACTAACTTATCAATACTGATTATTTCTTTTGAGTGATAAATCAGAATTCTTACTTAAATCTCAGATCTATGAAAACAAATCCTGAAGGTTTTCAGTGAAAGTCAGAAATCTGATTTTTAAAAAAAATACTTTTCTTTCAGATTTTCTATTTTTCTTGAGAAAATCTCAGAAATCTGACTTTTTCTTAAAATATATTTTATTTGTTTTCATAGATCTGAGATTTAAGTAAGAATTCTGATTTATTACTCAAAAGGAAAAATCAGTATTAGGAATGATCAAATCTTTTTTCAGCCAGCGATACCTGCCACCAGTGTTGGAACTAACGCGTTACAAGTAACACGTTACTTTTGACAGTAACTAGTACTTTAACGCATTACTTTTCAAATTCAGTAACGCAGTTACCGTTACTACATGGTGCGTTACTCCGTTAGTTTTTTTATATAGTCAACAGCCAGGCGAACAGAGATGAGAACTGTACTTAAGTACTTGAGTAAATGTACTTAGATACTTCCTGTGTCACATGCGGAGACGGGCTGTGGGCGTGTTTGTGTTGTTTACTAACAAGACTATCATGGCGGCGGCGGAGCTCAAGTCTAGTTTCTCCACCTGGAGATATTCTCACTATTTCACTTTTGTCGAACACAAAGAAAAGAACGTTTTAGTTAAATGTAAGTTGTGTCCTGGCGGGTCAACGATCCTATCTACTGCCCAAACCAGTCATTCAAATCTCTTAAAACATCTGCAAAAACAACATGCTGGGACGAAGCTAGTAGCCTAGCTAAGACCACAGAGACTCAGCCGACGCCACTCCACCTCCACCTAAGCAACAGCGGCTGGATTTTAACCGAGGGACTGCTAGCCAGGGACAAGTGGATAAAGCCATTGCACGGTATGTTGTAGAACACATGCAGGCTATTGCTACAGTGGAGTTACCCGCTTTCAGGGAGCTAGTTAGCATGATAGCATGTCCGGGCGGCACACGGCATATGGGACGGAAAACGTTTTCCAACTACCTGGAGAAAGAATATACAAAAATGGAAAGCCAGCTAATATCGATGCAATCCAGATTGCATATAATGCATGTCAAGTTGATCAACAGATTGTATTATTCTGCAATGCAATAACAGTACTGAAATGAAGGCTATAAGGGAGCATTTATTCCAAGTAACGAAAACGTTACTTTTCACAGTAACGCATTACTTTTGGGTTTAAGTAACTAGTAAAGTAACGCAGTTACTTTTGACATGAAGTAACTAGTAATGGTAACTAGTTACTGGTTTTCAGTAACTAGCACAACACTGCCTGTCACAGGGCTTGGTGTGTTTATTTGGTTGGGGCTCGATGTCCACATAATCACTGACTGGGCGGCCATTGGGTTAAGACAGTGGTTCCCCCTGGGGGGCGCAGAGTCATGCCAGGGGGGGCGCGAGAGACATGGAGGAAAGATTGTTAGAAAAAAAAAAAAAGATTAAAAAAAAAAGTCATAATTTGAAAAATTATTTATTAAAAAATAATATGATGCAGTACTATTACGTCTGGGTCTCTGTGTTTCATTAAAGCTCGGCTCTGTGTGTGTGGAACGAGCCATTTTGTGTGCGCGAGAGAGAGAGTGCACCGGTACCGGAGATCGTTGTTGTTAGCTTCTGGTGCTAGCAAGCTACGCTAACGGAGTTTTTTCAACAACAAGGTGGAGGAGAGTCCTCTCCTGTCAGACTGAGAGACTTAGTGAGCTAAAGGACTCTATCAGTGTTATCTCAGTGGGTCTCAAACGTTTTGGTCACCATTAATGTAAACAATTATTTCCAAGGCACACGTTTATATGTTCATTATAGTTATAAAAAAATACGAGAATAAATGAAAAACAGGTAGGAAATACTATATGACAGTAAAACAAGAATAAAGTTTAAAAAGGTGATTTGTAAAATATCCATTAAGAAAAAGTAAATCTGTTTACAGTTCTGTTTCATATGGGTGTTGAGAGATGCATCCATAGATCTCTTCATTTTGCTCTCAAAGTGCACCAGATTGATGCTTTTAACAATATTTAAAAAAAAAATCTTCCTGGGGGAGCTTGCCCCCGGACCCCCCTATGTGAGGTCCACACACCACCTATAAAAATAGCACTTTACCCCTGCTTACACCTATATGCAGCCGTGAGCTGATTATCGAGCCTTCATTGTGACAGTCGCGGGTACACTGTGTATATGCGTGGGGAGTGTTGCAGTAGAAAATTCCACTGTAGCGACCGGTACATTAATGGGAAACCCTAAATGTTTGAGCACCCTCTATGAAACGTCAAGCTACCCCACAGCACCCCCAAAATAAATCTCTGGCGTCGCCACTGAGCCTGACTATTTGTGTTGGGGGGGCCCGACTTTTTTTTTTGTCCAAAGGGGGGGCCTGACAGAAAAAGTTTGAGAACCACTGGGTTAAGATAAGAGATAAGATAATACTTTATTGATCTCAATTTGGGACATTGTTGTGTTGCAGCAGCATAAAAGACATGGCATTGTACAATACAAATGAAAAAACTAGAAATAAACAAGAAAGTAGAAAATATACATGTCGAATTTACAAATTAACAATAACAAAGGAAAATATAAAGCAAGTTATTATGTATACATAATTATGTGAGGGATGGATTGTTGTTGGTTTTCTTTGTACACAGGCATCTTGATCTGCCTCTTCTTCACTCATAGCAGTGTCACTGTCCTCTGATTCCATCTCAAAATCACTTTCTCCTTTTTGGATGGCATCACATCCTGCACACTGAATCCAGGACCTCTCTTTGCTGGTGGCATTCTGAAATGGAAAAAGTCATTAATAAATATGTATCAATAATACATATGCTTATTATATTGTAATAGATTACCTGAAGGAATAGATAGGGTGGTGGAACAAGTGTTCATTCTGTCTGGCTTAGCCTATTATCACACTAAAAGGAATGCATGCACCCACACATGCAGGTAAACCAGTTCAACAAGTCACACAGTGCTGTCTGGCTAATGCTAACAGGCTAATTATCATACTAAAAGGGATACCTCCAAATGTCCCAAAACATTTCAGAAAGAACTGTTTCTGCCAGAACCAGAGAAGAGTTGAATGTATTTTTGTAACTAATGAACTGATAAGATACAAGTAGAGTTTATAATATTGCTACGGATATAATTTCACATACTGCTATCAGAAATAATGTATTAATTTATTCAATTCTGGTGTTAATTCAACATCTTAACAGATGACACATTTAGAACTTAGTTATAGTGAATTATCAAAGACATTATATTTTTCTATTGGTGTTTTATTTCCATATAAGAAGGTAGCCAGGGCCGGTCATTAAAGGAGGCGATCCAGGAAGCATTCGCTCTCTCAGACTTGCTGCTGACTCCAGAGCCTCTTTGTGGTCCCTGAGAGATTTGGACATTATTCTGTCTTCTTGTTTTTAGTATTGTTAAATGTGTGTGTTTTGGGAGGGGGAGGATTTGGGTAAGTTTGGGGTACCCTCTACCTCTCCTCACTTAGGTAAACTCTGTTAGACACACTGTAGATTGTTGCCACCCTGTAGTTGTTTTGTCTCCTTGTTAGTAGAACAGATAGTGAGGGCTTTTTGTTTGAGTTTTGTTATATTCATTTCTTTAATTTGGCAAAATCTTCTTTGTCTCCTCACTTAAAGAACATTTGTTGGCATTTTCTTTGGTGTAAATAAATAAACTTGTGTTCACTTTCACCCTGACTGTTGTGTGTTACTGTCTCCATTTCCCCTACACTTTATTAGGGATGGAAAAGACACATATATATATATATATATTAGTGCTGTCAAAATTATCGCGTTAACGGCGGTAATTCATTTTTTGAATTAATTGCGTTAAAATATTTAACGCATTTAACGCATGTGCAGAATGGCCCGCCCCATATGTGCCACCAGTGGCAGCGCCAGGGTATGGCTGGGGTAGGCTACACCCATACCAAGAAATGGCTTAGCCCCACCATGAAAAATGATGTTAAAGTAAGCAAAATAAAGTCTGCCAACTCGCGGAGTATATTGCACAGACAGCAGTTAGTCAGATTGATTTCAGTAGCCACGGTTTTGAAAACTTTTGTCACGTAGTGATCGTCTTCTCAATAGAACATCTTTGATAACGGCGTGGTGTTGTTGCAGGAAGTCCCGACGGAGAATACTTTTGCTGTAGTACAGGGGTGCACATAACTGGTACGCAGGTTATGTGCGTAATCTGAAATGCGTACCGTCACTTGTGTCACAAAGCGCATTTGCGTACCGACGTACTTGTGAACCTTTCCCAGAAGGCGGTTAGATCACCGGACGACAGAGTCGGTCTCCGTGTGCACAGACAGGGCTGCTGTTAACGTCGGTCTGTACAACGGAATTGTGCCAAAACTACGCCAACCGGCTGCGGAGGGAGACTCCCCCCCCCCCCCTTCACTGGAGAACTGCGCTAAAACAGCTGATCACAACGTTCACACTCTGTGGTCACGAAGTACTCCACTAGCCGCCCCCCCCTCCCCCTGTCGACTTTCCTGAAGTACTCCCCCGTTGATAGAAATCAACACGTAATGAATTAAGACCCTACACGGTTTGATGATTGATAGGTGTGTGGGTTGTCTTTCATTTTGACACGCAGACAAATGTTATAATAAACATAGATACTGTATGTTAAATGGATATATCCGCCTTCTTTCATTTATCTTTCCATTCCCACGACAATATGCATAAATAAATGGCATATTTTGGACATAGTTCGAATGGTGATTAATCATGATTAATTCATTTTTAAACTGTGATTAATCTGATTAAAATTTGTAATCGTTTGACAGCCCTAATATATATATATATATAGATACGATTCTGAAAAGGGCCATAATGCATAAGGAGTACTTTTACTTTTGGTACTTTAAGTATATTTTGATAGCAATGCTTTTGTACTTTTACTTGTAACAGAGTATTTTTACCCCGTAGTATTTCTACTTTTGCTTCAGTAGAATATCTATCTAGAGATTTTTCATTTATTCTTTATATATTCTATTGTGTATTGCTTGGAGGGGGGGGGGGCACCAAATCATAATCTGGCCTAGGGCACCAAAATGTCTAGGGCCGGCCCTGTCTGCTGCTATATACTTCCACTGCACTACATTTTAAAAGACAGTATTGTACTTTTGAATCCACTGCATTCATTTCACAGCTTTTACTAGTTAGATATAGATTAGTAGATTCAAAATATAAATCAATTATTAAATACACTTTGACAGATTAGATATCCAGCAGCAAGACATAAAGTTATTCAAATGATCTCTACATTGACTAACTGTGATAACACACATCAATAATCATTATAGTAACCCAGTAACTCAATATATAGATATGATTCTGAAAAGGGCCATTATGCATAAGGAGTACTTTTGGTACTTTAAGTATATTTTGATACCAATGCTTTTGTACTTTTACTTGTAACAGAGTATTTTTACCCCGTAGTATTTCTACTTTTGCTTTAGTAGAATATCTGAGTACTTCTTACACCACTGCCACCATGAGTGTGGAGCTGTGTGCTACAAAAGCCTGACTTTAAAACAAATATTTTACAGCTGAAGACTGTTTTCAAATGCAGAGCAGGTTGTGAGCGAGGCTCCGTTTGTAAATGAGGAAACAGTTCAGAGTGTCTGCTCCTCCTCCTGGAACGAGTCAGAGTTTGATGAGCCCTCCCTCTTCTTCCTGCTCTCAGACACAGCCAGCTCCACTCTGTATTTCCTGGTTCCTCCCCTTCAGATCCACACTGAGGGGGATGGGTGTAACCAACATGTGGGTAAAGCACAAGAGCTGATAGGCCACATTCACTGCTCACACACATCCTGTTCAGATCACAGCTCACATAGTTTCAGCTCTCAGGAAGTGAAACTCAGACACTCGCTGCCACTGAGAGGTGAGATGGCGCAGAGAGGAGTTCAGCTGGACCGGGAAACCTTCTCTTGTTCCATCTGTCTGGATCTACTGAAGGATCCGGTCACTATTCCCTGTGGACACAGCTACTGCAAGGACTGTATCAAACACCACTGGGATGGAAAGCTAATCCACAGCTGCCCTCAGTGCAGGCAGAGCTTCACACCGAGGCCTGTCCTGCTGAAGAACACCATGTTAGCAGCTTTAGTGGAGGAGCTGAAGAAGACTGGACTCCAAGCTGCTCCTGCTGATCTCTGCTATGCTGGAGCTGAAGATGTGGCCTGTGATGTCTGCACTGGGAGGAAACTGAGAGCCTGTAAGTCCTGCCTCGTGTGTCTTGTATCTTACTGCGAGCAACACCTCCAGCGTCATTATGACGTAGCTCAATTAAAGAAACACAAGCTGGTGGAGCCCTCCAAGAAGCTCCAGGAGAACATCTGCTCTCGTCACGACGAGGTAATGAAGCTGTTCTGCCGCACTGATCAGCAGAGTATCTGTTCTCTCTGCTCTGTGGACGAACACAAAGGCCACGACACGGTGTCAGCTGCAGCAGAGAGGACTGAGAGGCAGAGAGAGCTGGAGGGGAGTCGACTAAACATCCAGCAGAGGATCCAGGATGGAGAGAAGGAGGTGAAGCTGCTTCAGCAGCAGGTGCAGGCCGTCAATGGCTCTGCTGATAAAGCAGTGGAGGACAGTGAGAAGACGTTCACTGAGCTGATCCGTCTCATGGAGAAGAGAAGCTCTGATGTGAAGCAGCAGCTCAGATCCCAGCAGGAGAGAGAAGTGAGTCGAGTCAGAGAGCTCCAGGAGAAGCTGGAGCAGGAGATCTCTGAGCTGAAGAGGAGAGACGCTGAGCTGAAGCTGCTGTCTCACACAGAGGATCACAACCAGTTTCTGCTCAGCTACCCCTCACTGTCAGCCCTCAGTGAAGCTACACACTCCTCCAGCATCAACATCCGTCCTCTGAGCTACTTTGAGGACGTGACGGCGGCCCTGTCAGCACTCAGAGACAAACTACAGGACGTCCTGAGAGAGGAATGGACAAACGTCTCATCGACTGAAGTGGATGTTTTACTGTCAGCAGCAGAGCCCACCACCAGAGCTGGGTTCTTAACATATTCACAGGAAGTCACTCTGGATCCAAACACAGCATTCACATATCTGTTATTATCTGAGGGGAGCAGAAAAGCAACAAACATGCAACAACATCAGTCTTATTCCAGTCACCCAGACAGATTCACTTATTATCCTCAGGTCCTGAGTAGAGAGAGTCTGACTGGACGGTGTTACTGGGAGGTGGAGCGGAGAGGGTTAGGAGTTTTTGGGAGAAGAGTTTTTGTAGCAGTCGCATACAAGAATATCAGCAGAGCAGGGAATGAAAGTCTATTTGGACTCAATGACAAATCTTGGTCCTTAGATTTTAACCAAAACAGTTATTTATTTCGTTACAACAGTATCGAAACTCCCGTCTCAGGTCCTCTGTCCTCCAGAGTAGGAGTGTACCTGGATCACAGAGCAGGTGTTCTGTCCTTCTACAGCGTCGTCTCTGAAACCATGGCTCTCCTCCACAGAGTGCAGACCACATTCACTCAGCCGCTACATGCTGGAGTTCAGCTTTGTTATTATGGAGCCACAGCTGAGTTTATTGAACTGAAATAGCCTGAAGTCACTTGAGGAACTCTTGTACTTCTTAAACTCACCGTGTGTCCATCAGAGCTGATGGCTCATGTCTTCACTGCACAGAGATCAGCTGTCAATCAAACATGATGGGATGTGCTTTAACATCTTCTCACGAGTTGTTCTGTGTCGTGTGAAATTATATAATCATTTAAAACATTTATTCTTATCCTCTGATTGCCTTTTACTCTGTTCAATTGTATTTGTAGTCTTGTATGTGTTTAACAGAGACGTGTGTTAATGATTTACATATCAGGAGGGCAAAGGAAGTCAAAGGTGGATTTGCAAATGGTTAATGACGAGGGGGTTTGATGGTTTAATGGTGGGGGGTAGGACCAGTTTCTCTTCATGAATATATGTGGATGTGAGCTGTGTTCGGGGTGCAGAACTTCTCTGGCTCTGTTCCTGCATTAGAGATGAATTTCACTCGTTTATTGACTTTCTTTATGACTTTATTAAATATAACAAAAGGCAAACTTTGTCCATGAATCATTGATCAGTTTCTCTGAAGGGTTTCCTCCACATTCTGTAGATGTTGGAGTTCCTTTAGGCGGCGCTCCTTCCTGTGTCTGTTTAGCCAACAGGTTGAGTGCCACATTTACATGACTGTATATTTTTTAATGTTTGGGTTTTCTTGTTAATAAAATAACTAAGAGGACAAAAGTGAAAATCTCTGTCCTTTAGGCTTTTTTTTAATTATAAATATATACATCAATTATTTTTCTGAAACAAGATATTCTCATGTTTTTATATATATTTTATTTATTTGTAGGATTAAGAAAAATCAGATGAATTCAGATGTTATGTTATTTTGAGCTGATGTAGCTCTTTTAGTAAAGCCTGCTCATGTCTCGTCAGGTTGGTGTAGATTTCTCTTCATTGTGTTAAATTGCTGTTAATATGTTTTTTGAAGCTGCAGCACGTTACTCCCAAAGCCCTAAAGAGTACTAAAGACGCAAGTGAGGGACGCAAGGATTGAATTTACAGAAGTGAGATGCAGCCATGGATGTATAATAACAACCGGATGCCTGATTCACTTGAGGGGCGTGGGGAGGGGCTCCTTATTTACGTATCCAAAGTAACTTTTGAAACAGAGGGGATTATGGGTAATGCTGCAATGATCGGTTTGGTGTTTCAGCCAATCAGAGACAGGCTCTGTATATATCTGAGACCTGTAATATATTGATGAGAAACAGTAAAATAGGGACCTTTAACACTTCTGGTTGAAAGACGGCCGCACTCCCTCACAGCCACAGACACACTTTACGATGTTCCTGACAGCAGAAGAAACCAACAGCACTATTTGTGGTTCTTTCATTGCACTAACATTGATCTCCTTGGTTACGCTGCCCCCTGGTGGAGAGCCTTAGACACTGAGCAGTCAGACTTATATGTACTGCAGTAAATGTACAAGCTGCTCTAAAGAAAGCCATCAGAAAAGCCTCGCTATGAATCATCAACAATTACATATTGGTATCAGCAGCTGAACAACTTGATATGTTGTTCTTATTGTAGTCGATATTTAAACACAGGAAGGAATGTGTACCTGACGTAGTGTACATTTCTCTACAGCCTGCAATGATTCCATCAGCTTTACCGTAACATTTCAATGTGTGTGTGTGTGTGTGTGTGTGTGTGTGTGTGTGGTGTGTGTGTGTGTGTGTGTGTGTGTGTTTGTGTGTGTGTGTGTGTGTGTGTGTGTGTGTGTGTGTGTGTGTTTGTGTCAGGGACGTGCACAGACATTTTGGGGGGCGGGAGCTCAAGTGAGAAAAAGGGCACTTCCCGTAATCATTTATAACAAAAAAATGTAAAACAAAAAGTTAAATATAGTTGCACATCTCTGACTTACTGACCAATTTATTTTAATACCCTCACACTCACGCAATTGTTTAATACTCAACAGACTTCTACAAAAGAATCAGTTAACACAGCAGGGCCGTATTCATGGAGTCAACATTGGGGGGGACCAAAAATTCAATAAAACTTTGAATACTAATTTCCTGCCATTCTAAAGGAAAATACATTAAAAATCCATTAAAAGGCCGAGCACAGTGTTCCCTTTAAGAAATGTTCCATGAAGACCATTGGCCTTGGCTGAAGTTTCAGGTGAGCTGCATGATGCCATTTCTTCAAGGGCCATCAGCACTGACTCATACTGCTTGAGAACTGAGCGGATGGCATGGGTACGTACAGTCCACCTGGTGGGACAGAGAGGCTTTAATGAGGTGAAAGTTGAACCATGCTCTGATTTTGCGATATTCTGGAAAATCAACTTGAACTTGCCAGATTGATTAAAGAACCCCCCCAATTCATGGACCAGACCCATTGCATCTCTTACTAGTGGAGAGGCTCCACAGGCAGCCTGCGTAATTAAGTTCACGCAGTGGGGACCACAGTGACAATACACAGCCAGCGGTTGTTCTTTCCTTAAAATGGCTTGTACTCCCTGCAATCGTCCAGCCATGTTTGCGGCACCATCATAAGTTTGTCCTCGGAGTTGAGACAGAGGAAGCTGTAGGCGCGTCATCACATCACATGCCATATTGGCTATATGTTGCCCTGTTGTTGATGACACTTGGTAGATTCCCAGGAATTCTTCCTTTGGTTGTAGATCTGCATCTACAGAGCGCACACATATTGACTCCTGCTCAACTCCTGATATATCTTGGGTGCCATGAATGATAATTGCGAACTGGACCACTGGCATTCATGTTATTTCCGACACAATTTCTTTGATGATTGTATTGGCCATCACCTTCAACAGTTCGTTCTGCAATTCCGGACTGGTGAAATCGAGGGGACCTTTTAGCCAGGAGGTCAGCTCTGCATCGCCCGTTGCCTTGTACTTTAGAAGCTGGCTTAAATTCCCACTCTCCTTCTGATCGCCTCGAAAAGCCAGACCTTGCCGCGCCAAGTACCTCACACCCTCAACAATCTTCATCAGATTTCTTCTTGCTTGTTGCTGCCGTCTTTCAAGCTCACGTGAAAGTTGCACATTAACAGGCTCTGGCTCCTGAATCCTAGTCATCACAGCTAATTTGTGACACTGGCTGTGTTTATGCACACTACATTTCTCCAGTGCCTTCTTCCAATTGTTAAAACCAGTCTTGACAAACGCTGAATCTGCTTTTGACGCAAGCTTAGACTTTTGTGCTGCAAAGTATTTAGCACAATAGAAACAGAGGACCCCTTTTACAGAGGGGCTGTAATGGAGCCATGTATGATCTTCAAACCACTTCTCCTGAAAGTAGAGTATTCTATTTGATAGGGTTTGACTGGGTATGACTTTCACATTTGGATGATTTGGGCAAAGTCCAAGCTCCTCCCCTTCCTTTCCTGTACCTTCATTTTCGCCTGCCTTGCTGCTCTCTCTCTCATTGTCAAACTCACTCTCCCTGCTTGATGGTATTATCTGAAATACATATGAGGATGATCTCATCTTAAATTAACATTAACATTAGACTGCTATGTTGTCATTATTCTGTCTTAACCATCAATATAGCTCCTTTCTGACTTACCTCCATGTCACCAGCGCACACTCTCCCCGTCTGGTCGCCATGCTCACATTCTCTCTCTCTTTACTCTGAACACACCAGAGTGAACATGGAATAAATATTATCAGTAAACAAGCTATCTGACTGGTAACAATACTCACTTTCTCACTGCTCTTAACTTACTTTTTTTCTTTTCTGAGGCTGCCCAAAAAACTGTCTAATGTCACTGCCACCCTTCCTCTTGCTCATGTTTACAGCTTGACCTCGGCGATCTGCAGTTGCTGATGTGATGAATACGGGTCAGCAGCGCTGGATATAAGATAATTAAACATGTTTATTAGCAATTTTGAGCGTTCTAAACCACAAGCTATGATGCACACTGCAAACCTCCTGCGTGTGAGTATCTTTTAAATGCTTCTGACGATTATGAAATACTATTTCATAATAATTGTAGAGTATTTATTATTTAATTAATTCTGGCACCTTTGGTATTCCATAGGGTGTCACACATCACAGTTTTAAATCTTTCCACACCCTACAAATTGCAAAATAAAATAGAAATAATCCACATGAATAAATATCTATTGGATTACATCCAAAACGACACCGTCATTTTCCACATAGCTGACACTAGCCCGCCAAACCCTGGCTAACAACTGAAACCAGCTAGCCCACAGCTAGTTAGCTACTATTCCTGAAAAGTTCGGTTTTAACATCAGAACTACAAGTTACTTACACAAAGAAGCTAAACCGGAGGGTTCATTAACATTACCATTACGAAATAAAATAATATAGATTACTTTAGGGCTAACTAGAAAAGATACCAGAACTGATGGAGGGCCAATTAAAACATGACTGACCTGCTTGGAGCATCAAGCTAACTGAAGGTGGACTCAGACGTGCAACAGCGAAATACACCCCCGGGTACAAAATAAGGAACCAATTTACATATGAAAAGAAATATCCTTTTGGTGAAGTTCACAATAACAGAAAATATAGATTTTCAAGTATACAAATAACCAAAATAAAGAAGTCATAGAATAGCAATTTTATTTTAATAAAAAAAAAAAAAATGTGTGCTATTTATTGGGGGGGACATTTTGAGTGTATCTGAACATTGGGGGGGATGTGTGTCCCCCAATGTATATGGTGAAAACGGCCCTGTAACACAGAGACAATGGTCTTCTTCAGTATTCACTGAGCACAAGAGCAGACAACAAACTAGTCAAATGAATAGTTATTAAATGAGCAGCCAACAATCAAAATGATGAAGTTACTGTTTAAGGACATTACAGGCACAAAGACCCTTTTTTCATACTTGTACATTTTGTTATTTTGGTGTATGTTGCTTCCATGTTTTCTTTCACTCTAATGGAAAGAAAACTTCCAAAAAACACATATAAACGGTGTTTGTTTTACTACCATGTCTGAATTCATCTATAGATTTAAAGCTAATCTGCATTTAAACATAACATTTCAGGGGAAAATACTGACTGAACGAAAGTAACTATCTGGGGAAGTTGTGAGGTGATATGTTTGTTTTTAGTTTTACCCTTTTCACCTGCAATGCCTTGGTAACTGCATGTAAATTAGCGCATTTTAAATCAGGCCTAGTTAACGCCTCATTTGCATATCAATGTGGCGATTGTGATGACGTTATTGGATACACATTCTACTGTATTCACCTTTATTGTATCGGTGTATCCCCTTAGCACATTAGCCTGTATGCCCATGATACATGGCCTTCGCTAAACCTTGAGCTAACTTACCCATTAGCTACTAGCCTTAGTTAACTATATTTGTTGTTGTCTTTTCCTACCCTGATGCGAAGGGAATACGACCGTGGATTTCCTCTCACCTCCTGTGGATTTATATTTATATATATATATATATATATGTTGCTGTATTTTTTTGTGTGAACTCTGGAGGATATTAGTATAGGTTTTTCGCGGCTTTGTTTCCTTCCCAGTAGGCTGTGTTTGGACCTTTGGGTAGAGGAGGGAAGTCTGGGTCCTACGGCTCATGGTGTGGCTGGCCCAGGCCCCCTTCTTCTTGTTTTGTTTGTTTTACGATCCTCCAGACTTGGTTCCTTATTGCCGGTAGGCATGCATGTGAGTTACGTCTGTGCTGAAAATAAATGCCCGTCGATAACTAAATTCTGTGTTTGTCGTGGTTG